AGTCTAGTGAATTGGAAGCCCACACATTCTGAAATGTCTGCTTACTAGTTTTTCTCTGCTGCAGCTACAACACAAAGAAGAAAAGATAAAACTCAGTGTCATGCCTGCTTTTGCGCAGATATGAGGTGTCTCTTGGGGCAGAACTGAGTGTCCCTCTTAGCCATGCCCTCCTCTAGCCTTTTATCCCTCACCTGACTGCCTCTAAACTCCGTCTTCAACTCATCAGGGTCATTAAAGTTGAGTGTGCATCAGAAACACTTTGAGGGGTTAAAACTTAGATTGTTGAGCTCCATCCTAAATCTTTAATTCAGCAGGTCTGGAGCAGGGCCTGATATCATGCATTTTTGGCAGGTTCTCAGGTGCTGATGTTCTGGGCACCACATTTGAGATGCAGCCCCAAAAGGTAACTTGCTTTGCAGCTGGTGATTAGAATCATGATGAGAGGGCTTATATTAAAAAATGAATTGTAAACACCCATCTCTAGTGATTAGAAGGATAAAGCTGCCTGGGTAGAGCTTCCCTGTTAGACAATATAAAAAGTAGTTACTTTTTGGAGAAAGTAGATGATTCTATCTGCTACCTTATAGTTCAATAAACTGAGATGACAGATCGAGGAAGAACCAAAAATATACACATACAGATTTATTGACAATTTCACTTGCTCAAAAGACTTCTTGGCTGGGCCAGCATATAGGACAAAATAATTTGCAAATGATGACAGATGTCTTTACCCTATATTCTTTTCTGTTTAGGATCAAAGCTTGTTTAGATGATCATAGCATCATCCCAAGTACAAATCTCTCGCTCTCCCAGCATGGCTGCCAAAAAGAATGACTCATGTCAGCAGCTCCTGTGTAAAGAACCAACCCCCAGGAAGGCACGCTTCCCAGAAGGTGCCACAGCTACACCTCTCAGGTACTCCTGAGGGCAGAGCAGTACCACTAGGAATTCGTCCTAAGTATCTTACAGTCGAGCAGGAGCTTCAGGGATGCTCAAAGTGTCTCATCAATTTTACTTTTATATGTTTTTTACTATTTACCTATGTGAGCAAAATATTTAATCTTGTAAAACTGAAACAATGGAATATACCCATAAAGGCTCAGATATACTCATAAAGGCTGTGTCTGCCACATACAACCTTACTTCAAGTCTTTGGTCCTTGAACTTACCTGATTATTCTGATTATAAATGCTATACTGTACATTTGAATTCATATAAAACTCTACTTTGTTTTCCCTATATTGTGGTTTCACATGAGATTTTTCTTTTCATTTTTCTTTCTTTGTTTTTGAGACAAAGTCTTGGCTCTGTTGCCCAGGCTGGTACAATCATAACATTGCAGACTTGACCTCTTGGACTAAGGTGATCCACCTCAACCTCCCAAGTAGCTGGGACCACAGACTTGTGCTACCACGCCCAGCTAATTTCTAAAATTTTTTGCAGAGATGGGGGTCTCGCCATGTTGCCCAGGCTGGTCTTGAACTGCTGGGCTCAAGCAATCCTTCCACCTTGGCCTCCCAAAATGTTAAGATTACAGACATGAGCTACTGTACCTGGCCAATTTTCTTCCCAGCTGTTTAAGAAAACTGTGAAATCATTAGAAAAAAAGCAAATAAAGCATCAATGACTAATTGCTCAAAGATGCTCTGAGCCTGTTGGGATGCTATGTCCAGGGTCTCTATTTCCATCTCATCACACCATCAACCATACATGCCCTTAAGTCCTTTTAAACCTTATATTCTGGGGCCGGATGCAGTGGCTCAGGCCTGTAATCCCAGCACTTTGGGAGGCCGAGACGCACGGATCACCTAAGGTTGAAAGTTCAATACCAGCCTGACCAACATGGAGAAACCCCGTCTCTACTAAAAATACAAAACAATTAGCTGGGTGTGGTGGTGCATGCCTTTAGTCCCAGCTACTTAGGAGGCTGAGGTGGGAGAATCGCTTGAACCCAGGAGGTGGAGGTTGCAGTGAGCTGAGATTGCGCCATTGCACTCCAGCCTAATGACAGAGCGAGACCCCATCTCAAAAGAAAAAAAACAAAAACAAAACACCTTATATTCCTTGGTTATTATGGCTGTGAGGCTAATTATTCCAGAGAAAAGGACATTAAATAGACACCAATCCAGCTGCTGACCACTTTCCTCAAGGGATCGTCTTGAAGCTAGCATGATCATCTTCTGTGACCAGCAAGGACTGTGCCACTAGGACTAATGGCCACCCTGGGTCTTCTGTTCTAAAGATTATAAATGATAGGCTAGAAAGGGCAAAGCAAATAACTGTTCTATCCACTAGTAATTCCTATCAGGATTTTTTTCCCCCATGGGTAAATAGCTCTTTTTTCTAATAAAAAGAAAACTGCAGAGATGAAGGAAAAATAAAGTTAAAGAATACTGAACAAGTCTAAATAAAAAACCATTTTGTACTACTCAAAGTGATCTACAGATTCAATGTAATCCCTGTCAAAACACCAATGACATTCTTCACAGAAATAGAAAAGCCCTAAAATTTGTCTGGAACCACAAAAGACCCTGAATAGCTAAAGTGACCCTGAATAAAAAGAATAAAAGCTATGGGCATCGTACTACCTGATTTTATAATTTTATTTTTTTTAAAGACAGGGTGTCACTCTGTCACCAGGCTTGAGTGCAGTGACATGACTGTGGCTCACTGAAGTCTTGATCTTCTGGGCCCAAGTGATCCTCCCACCTCAGCCTCCTGAGTAGCTTAGGACTACAGGTGCACACCAGCACACGTGGCTAATTTTTGTAGTGACAGGGTTTTGCCATGTTGCCCAGGCTGGTCTCGAACTCTTGGGCTTGGCTTCCCAAATTGCTGGGATTACATGTATGAGCCACTACACCCAGCCCACACTACCTGATTTTTAAAATTTTTAACTGCTTATCCTTCATAGAAGCCATCGCGTTAACAGGAACTAGCATAAAGATCATGTAGTCCACTGTGAAAGGTTGCTCAGAACTTCTAAATGATATTAATTTGCATTCAGAATGTCTAGCCTCCAGGGATCTCACAGAACATGAACTAAAGTTACGTCATTTGTAACAAGGAGGAAAGAATACCACAAAAGCTCTTGTGGGGGCTGAAATTCCATGTATAGTGTGATTTCTCTCTTCTAGGTTATCTACTGTGGGGTAACACCTAGGGCAGTATCTTATTCATGATTTTTATATTCATTAAGGGAAAAAAGGAACCTACACATTCAAACTACCCATGTGTAACAACACACATTATTTACCAAGCAACTTAAGCTGGTTAAGTCTAATGGTAGGTGAATTCATTTTAGAAGCAACTGAGGGAATGAATTAAATTTGAATTTTTTCAAATGAAGAGAATGACATAAGAAAAACCCAAAGCCTTGGAGACAGAAAAGTCTGATGCATTAGAATTTATAAAGACAAGGACAAATGGAAGTTTTAAATGCACCTGGAGCTAACAATAGGCAGTAAGGTTCAGTTTGCACCAGTCTCTTACTGGACTGCTTTTAAAAAAATGGACTAAGAGATCAACACCTTCCAGATCCACTGTGGCCATTCACAAGGTTATCTTTTTTGGCAGGAAATTCAAATACTAAATGCAAATACATTTTTTTTTTTTTTACTAAAACATCACTGTTAATAAAAATAGATGAGAAAATGCTCTTTTCTCTCTTCTCTTTTTTGAGACAGTCTCACGTGCTTTGTTGCCCAGGCTGGAGTGTGGTGACACCATCATAGCTCACTGCAAACTTGAACTCTTGGGCTCAAGTGATCCTCCCACATAGCTGGGACTACAGGCAGGCACATGCCACCAGGCCTGGCTAATTTTTTGTAGAGATGGGGTTTCACCATGTTGCCCAGGCTGACCTCAAACTCCTGGGCTCAAGCAATCCTCCCACCTTGGCCTCCTAAAGTGCTGGGATTACCCAGGAGCCACTGTGCCCAGCCAAGTTTAATTAAATATGTAAATTAGGGGAAAAGCTCACCACCCCCCTTCTTTTTTGGAAAATCTGGGGAAGCCTCCAGAGCTATCTCAAGTCTGAATCAGCAATTTTTGTGGTCTGAGTCTACCCGGCGGGGCCAAAAGACTCTGAATAGTCTAGGTTAATGGCCTCCTCTCAATCAACTTGGCTATCCGAATGATCCTTTGAGAAATCTGTTCCCATTCTCTGGATACTGATGTCTGAAGGCCATAAATGACAGGCAGGCCCAACTTATTTCCTTTAGGGCCACATGATTGCAATTTATTAAATGTAATTCAAATAACAGAGTTAGAAAATAGTCATAAAGGAAAATACATGGCAGATCTTGACCAGCAAAATATCATACAGATTACAAGTGGAATAGACTTAAGTCTGTGTTCAGGAACCCTCACTCCTCTTAATCAAGCAGACTGCTCATGGGAGGCTCTCTGATTCCAACTATAAAATGCTTTGGCAAATACGAGAAATAACTCAACATGGATCAGATGAATCCCTTTGCCTGACCCCTACCCCAGTCTTCTTTCCCTTTACTCCCAATTCCTGCCCTCTCGTGTTCTCAAACACTAAAGGGACTTTGAGTGCCATTTTCTAAATAAAAACTCTCATGATCTTGACTGCATCCTAATGAACCTCAAGGAGTGATAGTTCAGTGAAGAAACTCAACTGTTTTTATGTAATTGTTATCTGAAATACAGGTTGGTGGTATCCTAGGATTTTTAATCCCATGTAAGCATAATCCTGGGCAACTGAATTATGCTTAAATTCTTGAAGGCAAGAAAAATTTCCAAGAAAAACAAAAAGGAAATTTGGTTTCTGAAAAAGCTGATACCCTCTCTAAGCCATGCTGCCCCTTCTGGGGCCAAAATAACTCAGAAATCAGTAGCCTTGTGGCATTGCAGCCCACAGTAAAGGCAGAGTCCGAAACTATTTCTGACTGTTGTGTTCTTCTCTAGCATTCACGATGTCCCCATCCTAGATTCCTAGCTGTTCATGATCAAGTGAAAGTAAAAAGTCAGCTTACCTAACATCTCTTCTTTTAGTCTTTCATTACGTTCTTCGATTTGCTTAGGCAATCTCTGAGGAAAAGAGGAGAAACAAGGGTTGGTTAAAAAAAAAAAAATCCTTTGATTTTATTTTGAATTTGAGAAACATGAGAATCCTAATACAGAAATAAGATCAAGTTGAGTATATGTCTATGATCCTATTAAATAAAGAAAAAAAAAGAAACCCAAGTATTTGTGTTTGTGGGTGAGCTATATAAAGACAAAAGTTCTGTTGGGTCAGGTGCGGTGAATTCCGTAATCCCGGCACTTTTGAAGGTTGAGTTGGGAGGATCCAGCTCAGGAGTTTGAGACCACCTTGGGCAACATGGCGAAACACCATCTCTACAAGAAATACAAAAATCAGCCGGGTATGGTGGCATGTGTCTGTAGTCGCAGCTACTCATGAGGCTGAGATGGGAGGACTGGTTGAATCTGGGAGGTTGAGGGTGCAGTGAGCTACGACTGTGCCACTGCTCTCCAGCCTGGGTGACAGAGACCCTGTCTCAAACAACAACAAACAAGTTTTGTTTGCCTCTATTTCCAGCTCGTAATAGAATGCCTACGCTAACGGAGGGCAGTGATACAAATTTAACGAATAAATACATACAGAAAAAAAGTCTGAAAGGATACGAATCAGATGTTTACAGTGTTATATTTAGATGGTGGGATTATGAATGATATTTGTAATTTTAAAAAATTAATTTGTATTTTCTTTTCTTTTTTTCTTTTTTTTTTTTTTTTTGAGACGGAGTTTTTCTCTTTTTACCCAGGCTGGAGTGCAATGGCGCGATCTCGGCTCACCGCAACCTCCGCCTCCTGGGTTCAGGCAATTCTCCTGCCTCAGCCTCCTGAGTAGCTGGGATTACAGGCACGCGCCACCATGCCCAGCTAATTTTTGTATTTTTAGTAGAGACGGGGTTTCACCATATTGACCAGGATGGTCTCGATCTCTTGACCTCGTGATCCACCCGTCTCGGCCTCCCAAAGTGCTGGGATTACAGGCTTGAGCCACCGCGCCCAGCCTAATTTGTATTTTCTAAGTTGATGTCCCTTCTTTATACAATCTAATTTGTTGAGAAAAGGTCGTATCAGTCTTGGATGTTCTTTTTCTTTTTTTCTTTTAGAGATGGGGGTCTCACTGTGTTGCCCAGGCTGGCCTTGAACTCCTAGGCTTAAGTGATCCTCCTGCCTCAGCCTCCCAAAGTGATAGGATTACAGGTATGAGCCATGTGCCTGGCTGGATGTTCTTCAATAATCATCTAGCTCAGGGTTTCTCAACCCTGGCACCACTGACATGTTGGATGGACAACTCTTTGTTGTGGGGTCTCCCTATGCATTGTGGGATTTTTAGCAGCATCCCTTTTGTATGCTTACTAGATTGCAGTAGGACTTTCCCAGTCATAATAATCAAAATGTCTGCAGACACTGCCAAATGTTCCTGAGAACTACCCCAGTTGAGAACTACTGACAGAGATTTAGTCTTTTTTTGTTCGTTTGTTTTTAAGAGACAGGGTCTTAAGCTGTTGCCCATAATGGAATGCAGTAATGCAATCACAGCTCACTGTAGCCTCCAACTCGTGGGCTCAGTGATCTTCTCTGTCACCCAGGCTGAAGTAGAGTGGTACGATCTTAGCTCACTGCAACCTCTACCTTCTGGGTTCAAGCAATTCTCTTGCCTTGGCCTCCCGAGTAGCAAGGATTACAGGTGTACACCACCACCCCAGCTAATTTTTTGTATTTTTAGAAGAGATGGGGTTTTGCCAGGCAGGTCTCGAACTCCTGGTCTCAAGTGATCTCCCCGATGCGACCTCCTGCAGTGCTGGGATTATAGGCATGAGCTGTTTTGCCTGGCCTCCCATATGTCTTGATAAGCTCCTCAAAAGCACAGAAATGAAATTTAATTGTGTCTGAAAGGATTATTTAGGATTCACTTAGCAACACAGGGCATAGAAGAAAAAATATTTTAAAAAATTTTAGGTTTTACCATACAAGCTTCTCTTGCTTGATGTATTGATGGATCTTTTTCTAATATAGATTTATAGTCTTCCAGGGCTTCGTCCAGCTTGTCCGTCTTCTCATACAGTTCCGCTCTTCTCAATATTGCCCTGATATAGCTTGGGTTTAACCGAATTGCTGTAAGAAGAGAAGAAATAATTTTTATCATAAAGAAAAAGGGCCTACATACCTTTGGCTATATCAAATTCCTTCATCAATCATCCTCCAAGGGTACAAAAAGAAGAGTCATTTATCAAAGTGGATACCTGACACTGGAAAACTTATTCTGTAAAGAGCAAGACAGTAAAGATTGCAAGCTTTGCGGGCCAGACAGACCATCTGTGTTGCAACTCCTCAACAATGTAATTGTAGCATGAGGGCAGGCACAGAAAATATGTAAACAAACAAGGGTGGCTGTGTTCCAATAAACTATTTATGGACACTAAAATTTGAGCTCACATAATTTTCACATTATCATGAAATATTTTTCTTTTGCTTTCCAATGATTTAAAGCTGTAAAAATAATTCTTAGCCTTTAGGCTATCAAAAACAGGCGGCAGGCTGGAATGGCTTGTGGCTGTAGTTTGCCATATACTGGTTTATACCCCAAGTCCTGGTTTTTGCCCACTTGTCATTTATCCGCACCAGAACAGGCCAGAACACAGAGTTCAAGAGCACAGTGAAAGAATGAGAGAGAATCTGAAGATACAAATTAAAGAGTTAAGGGAAACCAGTCTGGTGGCAGACTTCACCATTCTTTTTTTTCTAGCTCTTGAATACTAAGATTATGTTTCTAGTTAAATCCTCACTGTTTCTTCAACCATCAAACTATTGCTCCAGCACTATGAGGTGGTTTGTGCATAAAATCCTTTCCCTTATCCAACATCAGTTGCCCTTGAAATAATCCTTTGCTATGTTTTGGTTCAACATACTGCATTTCTTCTAATTTCTTCCGAGTTGTTTCTTTTTCTATTAGAAAGCAATGCTGGCCAGGTGTGGTGGCTTATGTCTGTAATCCCAGTACTTTGGGAAGCCAAGGCAGGAAGATGACTTGAGGTCAGGACTTTGAGACGGCCAGTCTAGCCAACATGGTGAAACCCCATCTCTACTAAAAATACAAATATTAGCTGGGCGTGGCAGTGTGAGCCTGTAATCCCAGCTTTTCAGGTGACTTACGCATCGGAATCACTTGAACCCAGGAGGTGGAGGTTGTGGTGAGTGGAGATTGCATCACTGTACTCCAGCCTGGGCAACAGAGGGATAAAACGGTCTCCAAAAAAAAAAAAAAAAAACAATGTCTTGGCTCTAGACCTTTTTAATTTTCTCATAATCTATCCTTAATTTTTAAATTCATGCTTTCTGTGAACATTTATTTAATACTTTATATATATATCCAATGTAGCATATCTCTGGGCTATAGTGGTAAACAAGACACAGTCCTTGTTCTCATGAAGCCTTATGCTATTCTAGTAGGAAAGAGTAGACAGGTATACAATTTAAGATAGTCATCGTACTATAATGAAAAATAAAACAAGGTCATGTAAATGCAAGTGAAGTGAGAAATGAGATAACTTCAGAAAGTGGTCTCAGAATATGAAGAGGGACCATGTGAGAGAGATCAGCCATGCGGAAGGCTAAGGAGGAGTGTGCCAGGAGAGGGACCAGCAAGAGTAACTGGCATGTTAGTGACTAGGCTGGGACCAGAGGTGGAAGTGGAGGGCCATGCAGGGCCTTTGTGGCCAGGGAAAGGAGTTTGGACTTTTTCCTGAGTGTGATGAGAAGCCACTGCAAAGTTTTCAAGCAAGCTTCAGACATACTCTGATTTACATTTTTGAAGGATTGCTTTGGCTGTACTGTGGGGGTGGGTGGGGCAAGACTGAAAGCTGTGAGATCAGTTGGAAAGCCAGTGTAGTGGTGCAGGTGAGGGAAGATGTTGGCTTGGCCTAAGCTGGAAATAGTAGTGATGGAAAAATAGCAGCCACATTAGATTAAGTAGGTCTTTAAATTTGAGCCCACAGAACTTGCTAATTAATTAATTAGCCATGTAGCATAAAAGAACAATCAGGGATGACTCCAAAGGTTAAACTTAAGCAAGGGAATGGATGGTAATACCATTTATTAGAATGGAAGAAACGAACGGCAAGTTGTGTGTGTGTATGGGGGCTGGGCATGTTAACGATGAGGTGCCTACCAGATATCCAAAAAGAAAGAACAACTTTGCACTGCGATACAGGACTCTAGAATACAGGACAGAAGTACAAGTCGAAGACAGAAACTCTGTCATACAGATGGCATGTATTTTAAAATTGGTTAGTTTTGGCTTTTATCTTCATGAAAATATTCCTTTTGTTTCCCTTAATTGTATTTTTGTTACTCTAATTTCTTTTTTTTTTTTTTTTGAGACCAAGTTTCACTCTGTCACCTGGGCTGGAATGCAAAGGCGCAATTTTGGCTCACTGCAACCTCTGCCTGTCGAGTTCAAGCGATTCTCCTGCCTCGGCCTCTCAAGTAGCTGGACTACAGCTATTATGTGCTACTATGCATGGCTAGTTTTTGTATTTTTTTGTAGAGATGGGGTTTCAGCATGTTTCCCAGGCTGGTCCTGAACTCCTGGGCTCAAGTGATTCTCCTGCTGCAGTCTTTCAAAGTGCTGAAAGTGCAGGCACGAGCCAGCATGCCTGGACTCTACTACTTTTTTTTTTTAATTTTAATGACAGAGTCTCCCTCTGTTACCCAGGCTGGAGTGCAGTGGCACAATCTTGGCTCACTGCAACCTCTGCCTCATGAGTTCAAGTGATTCTCCTGCCTCGGCCTCTCGAGTAGCTGGGATTACAGGTACATGCCACCATGCCCAGCTAATTTTTGTATTTTTAGTAGAGATGGGGTTTCACCATGTTGGCCTGACTGGTCTCAAACTTCTGACTTCAGGAGATCTGCCCACCTCGGCCCCCCAAAGTGCTAGGATTATAAGCATGAGCCACAGCACCCAGACTACTACATCTTTTAAAAAACAGAAACCTCCAACTTTTATTTTAAGCAAGATACCACAATTTTCCAACTAGTGGATAGCTTCTAATTATGCAAATATGTGTTGAAGAGACAGAAATTTCCCCATGATTATTATTATTATTCTTATTTTTGAGACAGAGTCTCATGCTATCACCTAGGCTGGAGCACAGTGGCTCAATTTTGGCTCCCTGCAGCCTCAACCTCCCCAGGTTCAGGTGATCCTCCCACCTCAGCCTCCTGAGTAGCTGGGACCACAGGCATGTGTTACCATACCTGACTAATTTTTGTATTTCTTGTAGAGACAAGATCTTGCCATGTTGCCCAGGCTGGTCTCAAACTCCTGGGTTCAAGCCATCTGCCTGCCTCAGCCTCCCAAAGTGCTGGGATTACAGGCATGAGCCATTGTGCCTAGCCCCAAGATTACTTTATATAATCCTCTAAAACCAGCATATCACTCTAAGGTGATTTTCCTTCTCAATATACGTAAAGACAACGGGCCTGGCATGGTGGCTTATGCCTGTAATCTCTCAGCACTGTGAGAGGCTAAGGCAGGAGGATCGCTTGAGCCCAGGAGTATGAGACCACCCTGGTCAACACAGGGAGACCCCCGTTTTTTAGACAAAATAAAAAAAAGTAGCTGGGCATGGTGGCATGCACCTGTGGTCCCAGCCACTTAGGAGACTGAGGTGAGAATGAACTTAAAACTTTATGCCAAGGATGAAAACCCTGGAGCTCCAATATGACCTCAGAAATAAGCTAAGTTCTTTGCCAAGGCTTATGAATTGAGAGAGAAGATTGAGAAAGGGAGGGAGGGAGGGAGGGAGAAAGTGGGGGGGAGAGAGAGAGAGAGAAAGGAGAGTGTGTGAGTGTGTGTGTGTGTGTGCGTGTGCGTGTGTGTGTGTGTGTGTGTGTGTAGGGTGGGGGTTGTTGGGGGCTCTCAATACAAACAAACCATACTGACGTAAATGTAATTTGCCCATGAATACAATGCATATATCCATAATGACCATGTCTAACCACATAAATATTAGTTTAAGCAAGTCCAAAAAATCCGGAAAACACTTTGGCTGGAAAACACTTTCTTCTCCTTTCTCTCATTTTCTAGGCAAGGTTCCTACTTTGGGCTGCAGCTGGAAGTAAACTGTTTCATATGGAAATGAACTATGTCTTACAATATACCATGCTAATCACGCTTACAACGCATTTTTTTCACCATCTGGTTACAGAGAAAGCAGCTCTGAAAACCAGCAGCTTGTTCCTAATTTAAACTTCTCAAACCCACACATCCTCACATAAAGGAAATAGGTTAAATAACTTCTTTCAAACAAAACAGTACATTCAGAATTAGTTCCAGTCCAACTTTGTAACAGATCAGAAGTGGTTTTCTATATTATAATATAGAAACAGTTTCATTTAGATACTATAAGGAAATACCAAATATAAAGAAAAGAGAGCCAGTAGAGAGGGCACCAAATTAATTAGAGAAAAAAATAGAAGTGTTAGAGGCATTTGAATCAGAGTAGCTCCATCCTGAATAAGGGCTGGGTAAAATAAGGCTGAGACCCACTGGGCTGCATTCCCAGGAGGTTAAGGCATTCTAAGTAACAGGATGAGACAGGAGGCTGGCACACGATACAGGTCACAAAGACCCTGCTGATAGAACAGGATTCAGTAAAGAGGCTGGTGAAAGCCCACCAAAACCAAGATGGCAATGGAAGTGACCTCTGGTCACCCTCGCGGCTCACTGTATGCTAATTATAATGCATTAACATGCTAAAAGACATTCCTACCAGTGCCATGATAGTTTACAAATGCCATAGCAACATTCGGAAGTTACCCCTTAAAAAGGGGAGGGGGCCTCAGTTCTGGGAAATCTCTGCCCCTTTCCTGAAAATCTCATGAATAATCTGCCCCTTGTTTAGCATATAATCAAGAAATAACTATAGGTTTACATAATTGAGCAGCCCACACTGCTGCTCTGCCTATGGAGTAGCCATTCTTTTGTTTATTTCTCTAATAAACTTGCTTTTTCATTTTATGGACTTGCCCTGAATTATTTCTTGTGAGAGGTCCAAGAACCCTCTCTTGGATCTGGATCAGGACCACTTTCTGGTAACAGCAGGGGAATACATGCTTAGTGTAAGAGGGGATCTAGAGAACATATAGGGTTCTCTTCAACTCCGCTCCCAGAAACTATTATCCAAAGAAGAAAAACTGAAAAAATATAAAACGAAAACAGTGATTTGCTAGAAAAACTTCTGAGACTGAGATGCAAGAAAAAGTGATTATGTGTATTCTCCACATGAAGTTGGTTAGAGAGGCAAGACGCCTGACTGGCCTATCAGGCAATTTTTGAAAACAAAAACAAAAACAAACCACAATACAACTGTAGTGATCCCATGTCTGAGGTATCTCCATAAAAGTTGGTGGGATGACAAGACCTTAATAGAACTTAGATATCATATAGCAAGGGCTTGATTCATTGTGTAGAATCTGAAAGGGTAAAAACATGATGGGAAGTAGGATGGAAGAATTATGACACCCGAAAAGACTGTCAATTCACTAACAGAAACTGTCCCTCATCACAGTTGTCCCCCTTCTCAAAATACACAGATCCAAATGCTCTAATGGCAGCTACGATCTTCAATTTGAATCTCAACAGAAAGTAATTAGGGACCACAACAAGTAAATTCTATTCCATGAGTTCTGTCGCCAAGATAGCACTGAATTTTTCTTTTCTTTTGGAGACAGGGTCACTCTGTCACACAGGCTGGAGTACCGTGGCACAATCATGGCTCACCACAGCCTCAATCTCCTGGGCTCAGGTGATCCATCTCGGCCTCCCGAGTAGCTGGGACTACAGGTGCATGCTACCACACCTGCCTAACTTTTGTATTTTTGGTAGAGACAGGGTTTTGCCACAATGCCCAGGCTAGAGGACTGAATTTTTCTTCACGTATATACCAGCATAGGAGACATTGATTGAATTATCCATTCAAAAGCACAGTTATTCTAAGATGACTATTAAATATTACCTCTGAAAAGACAGAATTATAGGCCGGGCGCGGTGGCTCACGCCTGTAATCCCAGCACTTTGGGAGGCCGAGGCGGGTGGATCACAAGGTCAAGAGATCGAGACCATCCTGGTCAACACGGTGAAACCCCGTCTCTACTAAAACTACAAAAAAAATTAGCTGGGCATGGTGGCGCGTGTCTGTAATCCCAGCTACTCAGGAGGCTGAGGCAGGAGAATTGCCTGAACCCAGGAGGCGGAGGTTGCGGTGAGCCGAGATCGCGCCATTGCACTCCAGCCTGGGTAACAAGAGCGAAACTCCATCTCAAAAAACAAACAAACAAACAAAAAAAACAAAAAAAAAAAACCCACAAAAAAAACCAAAAAGACAGAATTATAAAGCCACCTCTTGAAAGGCCCCAGAGGAAGGGTACACATGTACAATGCACACCGGACCCAAAGCCCCTCTGACATAATGCTCCTATATGTTAACATGCAGTGAGATGAACAAGGCTGTACCTTTGCTGCAGTCATTGATGGCCATTTCTTTCTTGTCCTAAAAGGAAAAACAGTATTAATATGTGTTGCCCTGAGATACAGAATGCTTTTCAAATAAATTACACAAAAACCTGAGTGTTACTTCCAAGACAAAATTCAAAATTAACATGGGGATGGCTCTGATCTGAAAGCCTGGTGGTAACACATTACTCAAGTTGCTTCTTTCTGAGAGTATCTTTAAAGATTGTTCTAAATGACCTATTACATTTGCAAGACACTTTACATTACAAAGCTGACAATGAGAAACTCTGTGACCTAAACAGGGCAAATGACTGACATCTGAATAACTGAATTACCCTCCTTTCTCATACCCCAAAGCGGTATCTTTCAGAAAGTATACAGATGCTCCGTCTACAAGCACACAGTGTGGCTTGTCATGTAGTCTCAGATATAAACCTTAATTCATTTACTGATCAAACAAAAATACAAAACGGCTAATCAAACAAAATATCTAACTAATTGCACTTTCTGATTCTAGAAGCATGACATAGCGGAAAGAACCCTGGATGTCCAAGAACTGAATTCTGGTCCTGGCTCTGACAGTAACCTGCTCCTTAACATTGCCCATGCTACTTTCCTTCTCTAGGCCTCAGTTTGTCTCATCTAAAATAGGGGTAGGCTGAACTGGATGTTACATAAGATGCCTTGCAGCTCTAAAATGTCCATTTTCCTGAAATTAGAAATTTTTATATTACAGAAATGTTATTTCAAATAAGTGTTCAATATTCTCACAATGCCTACTGTAGCAAATACTAAATATTTTGCTGAATATTTCGGAGCAATGTCAACTAAATTGTTTCAGGATTCAATCAAAAGCAGTTTCAGGGCCAGGTGCAGCGGCTCACACCTATAATCCTAGCATTTTAGGGGACTGAGGTGGGCGGATCACCAGAGGTCAGGAGTTCGAGACCAGCCTGGCCAACATGGTGAAACCCTGTCTCTACTAAGAATACAAAAATTATCTGTGTGTGGTGGTGGTGCCTGTAAGCCCAGCTACTTGGGAGGCTGGGGCAGGAGAACCACTTGCAACAAGGAGAAGGAGATTGCAGTGGGCCGAGATAACGCCACTGCAGTCAAGCCAGGACAACAGAGCAAGACTCTGTCTCAGAAAAAAAAAAAAGTTACAGGATGAGGAGTGATGACTTAATGAGTATGGGGTATCCTTTTAGGATGACGGAAAAGTTCTGGAACTAGACAGTGGTGTTGGGTGTATAACACTGTGAAGGTATTTTAATCCACTGAATTGTATACAGACACGCACTGTATAATGATGTTTCAGTCAATGATAGACTGCATATAAAACAGCAGTCCCACGGGAGTATAATGGCGATGACAAATTCCTATCACATAATGACACAGCAGCCGTCATAACATCATGGTGTAACCTACTATTCAGGTGTTTGTGTAATGCTGGGGTAAACAAACCTACCACACTGCAAGTTACGTGCAAGTATAACATAGGCCGGGTGCAGTGGCTCACGCCTGTAATCCCAGCACTTTGGGTGGATCACCTGAGGTCAGGAGTTCAAGATCAGCCTGGCCAACATGGTAAAAGCCCATCTCTACTAAAACTACAAAAATTAGCCGGGCATGGTGGTGCATGCCTGTAGTCCCAGCTACTCAGGAGGCTGAGGCACGAGAATCACTTGAACCCAGGAGGCAGAGAGATTGCAGTGAGCCAAGATCATGCCACTGCACTCCAGTCTGGGTGACAGCACGAGACTCCATCTCAAAGAAAAAAAAAAAAAAAAAAGCACAACACATACATACTTGATAATAAATGGCTGTTACTGGTTTCTGTATTTACTATACAGTATTTTTTATGTTAGAGTGCACTCCTTCTACTAAAAAAAAGTTAACTGTTAAACAGCCTCAGGCAGGTCCTATAGAAAACATTCTAGAAGAGGGCATTGTTATAATAGGAGATGACAGGTTGAGTCGCCCTTGAAAACCTTCCAGTGGCACTAGGTGTGGAGGTGGAAGACAGTGATACTGCTGCTCCTGACCCTGTGTAGGCCTAGGCTACTGCGTGTATTTGTATCTCAGTTTTCAACAAAAAAATCTAAAAAGAAAAAAAAAAAAAAAACAACTTTATTTTTATTTATTTTTTTGAGATGGAGTTTCACTCTTTGTTGCCCAGGATGGAGTGCAGTGGTGCGATCTTGGCTCATCGCAATCTCTGCTTCCCGGGTTCAAGCAATTCTTCTGTTTCAGCCTCCCAAGTAGCTGGGATTATAGGCGCCCGCCACCATGCCCGGCTAATTTTTTTATTTTTAGTAGAGACAGGGTTTGACCATGTTGGCCAGGCTGGTCTCCAACTCCTGACCTCAGGTGATTCACCCACTTTGGCCTCCCAAAGTGCTGGGATTACAGGCGTGAGTCACTAAGCCTGGCCCAAATCCAACTATCTAACTTTAGTACCATTATGGTATAAAATAAATATATTTGTACTCTTACCGATTCCACATTCACTTTTTTATACTAAAGGTTCTCAATCCTTTGGAAATACACAATGCTTTTAAAAGTTCCCTGACACCCATTTTGCATTTAAGGGTACTTTTTTTTTTTGAGATGGAGCTTTGCTCTTGTTGCCCTGGCTGGAGTGCAATGGCACGATCTTGGCTCACCGAAACCTCCCGGGTTCAAGTGATTCTTCTGCCTCAGCTCCCTGAGTAGCTGGGATTACAGGCCACCATGCCTGGCTAATTTTGTTTAGTAGAGACAGGTTTCTCCATGTTGGTCAGGCTGGTCTTGAACTCCTCAGCTCAGGTGATCTACCCGCCTCAGCCTCCCAAAGTGCTGGGATTAGAGGTGCGAGCCACTGCACCCGGCCTTAAGAGTGCCTTTTATCCCAATGGTTGGACATTTCTCCCAGTGTCCATACTTCAAATAGAAAAATCAGAATCCTAGGAATAACCATTTTTATAGATGGTTTAAAGCCCAGAGTTTTCACCAGTGTTTCCCTGTGCCTTTGCATGTTTATATAGAATCCCAGCGGCCTAAAACGAGCATCTAGTTCTATTCTAGGATATGTACTACTTGGCTCATTGCTTCATTAACCTGCCCTAGTTTAGCAAAAAATTTGCCACCCCTCCTTTCATGAAAGTATTCACTCAGCTACTTTAATGGGGAATGTTAACAGTAATCTGACTCAAGTTTTTCAAAATATTTTCTATACTCCCTGTGGCCTTTACATGAGGGAAATATATGGGCAGGAAAAGGGAAGCAGCAATCTCTTTGCTAGTTTTTGGAGAGAAACTGTGGTATGAAAAGACTGCAAGTCCATGTGCTTTTTAAAAAGAAAATGTCAAAGATTCATACCTGCTTCATCCTTGCTGCAGCTCTATTTGAAAATAGAATCGACCTGTCCTTTTGGAAGCAGGATGGGCATATTTCGAGGGCTCGACTATAAGAACTTTCAGCTTCTATATAATCTGAGGATGATAAGATAAAGAATGAGTGGTCATTATGATTTTATTCCTGTTACTACTGTATTCCACAGGATCTCAGAAGGAGTTTTCCATTCATAGATGAAGGTTTTGAGTTAAATGATGGTCACAGTCTATTAAGTTTTGGGCAGTAAAAATAACTTCCTCCTTTCTTCTCTCTTTAAAGGAACACTGTTTGCTTGTGCCAATCTACAGGCTGTGCTTGGTAAACTGACAGCTGAACATGCTGTCAGTGACAAGCCCTCAATACTCAGGAGTCCCGGCATTCCCTAAATGTTCAGTTTTCATTTGGCTGGGCAATTGAGAAAGGAGTTTTCAAAGGAGGTTAGAGAACTGGATAGATGAAAGAGATTAAACTCTGGGATCCATGGCCTGAGACAAAGAAAAAATTATACGTATTTGTTTTCATTGAAACTACTGTCCTTTCATACAGTCAGCCTGGCTAAAACCGCATCCATCAAAAGTTTGAAGAGACATTTGATAGAGCTAAAAGCAACGATATAAAAATCAATACTTAAATCAAGACCTTAAAAGAGAAAATATATAAATATATAAATTTATATATTCATTGTTACATGCATAATTATGGTCAGGAAAGTAACAGAAAATTGCCTATATACTCCTTTCTCAGGTTTGAAATATTTACTATTAACATACAAAAAATATGCTTTCAAAATTAGAAGCATTTGTTCTATTAGAAAAAAAATTATTAATGATTACTAAACCAGGATGTAAGAAAAAAAATTTTAAATCTGAAATCAGGTAATTAGGGTAACTTTTGGAAAACAAAAAAACAAACAAAAAAACCCTGAAAATAACTAAGGGAAAATGTTAACACTCCTAGATTTCTGAAGCATATAGACTTTAAGATGTGACAGAAGACTTAAATGATCAGAACGAACCCCACCAACTCATTTCTAAGCAAATGTAAGAATTGCAGAAGGACATGAAGAATCTCTCTCTACTTAAGACATCCAAAGAAAATGGCACATGAAAGAGCAACCCTTCTGAAGCAGTTTGGAGAATTTAAAAAAAGAAAAGAAGGCTGGGCACAGGGCTCACATCTGTAATCCCAGAACTTTGGGAGGCTGAGGCAGGTGGATCACAAAGTCAGGGGATCGAGACCATCCTGGCCAACATGGTGAAACCCCATCTCTACTAAAAATACAAAAATTAGCTGGGCATGGCCATGCCTGTAATCCCAACTATTCAGGAGGCTGAGGCAGAAGAATCACCTGAACCAGGGAGTCGGAGATGGCAGTGAGCTGAGAATGGCCACCGCATTCCACCTGGTGACAGAGCGAGACTCGGTCTCAAAAAAAAAAAAAAAAAAAAGTAACCAAAGGACAGGCAACCCTAGGCCACACCAGAGCAGTCCAAGGAGTGGGGACCATGGTTTTTACAGCAATGCAGCACACAGCCTTTTGACATTCCAGGTTAGTATTTTCCAAAGCAAGAGCTAAAGAGTTTTACCCCTGATTCTAGATTAACAGATAGTGAATTACAGAAAGACCATGCACATGCCAAGAGACAAATGGTAATTTGTCACCATCAGATGAATAATTTGGCCTAGTAAAAAACCCAAAATGCCAAGGTACTGGGAAGCAATGCTGTATTGTGAAGTCTGGTTTTGCTAGTTGTTTCCAAATGTTCTTTGGGGTTTCTTCACAGGCTCTACGACAGGATGAGGTATCAAGATGACCAGATTATCAGTGCTGAAAGTTATTTTACCTCCTTTCTTAAACTGTTCATTTCCCTCCTCCTTTAGTCTAGTGCTCTCTTCTCTTCTTTTCTGAAAGAGATCGGAGAATTACATAATTTCTCACAATATTATTGTAAGTGAACAAAAAGGTCGGCTTTCTTTACACACAAGTCCATTTAAAAGGCAATAGTCTGACTTTTAAGAAGTGGATCAGTTTCACCTAAACCTTGCACAGTGACAGAGAAAAAACATACGACCATTGGGCTAGTTATCAATTGCATTCTTGATGTTTAAAACAAAGAACAGTTTTCTTGGCATGTTCTTTGCTTTCTATGTTTCTTCTATCTTTTGCATGGAATGATAATTCTATTATCACTTAATATCTACTTACTCAGAAATGAAACTAAATAACATACCCACTGGTGTGCATACCAGTGTAAATTCAAATTTTAACTTCTACTACTTACTAGTTATGTGACTTCGGACAAGTTTCAGAATATTCCTGAGCCTCAGTCTCTTCATTTCAAAAATGAAGCTTTAATAGTTTTATGGACTACTGTTTAATGGATTAATATATGTAAAGCTGCCCATACAGTGACTAGTAAATAAGGGCTCAATAAATAAGCTATTATTTTCTGTGAAATAAGTACTTTAATCCTTATAGCTATAAGAACCCTTCATGGTTTGTGTCATGAAGGAGACATAGTATGCTGGGAGAGCACATTCGTGGGGACAATACCGTTAGCAGGTTAACACGTGAAAATGTGAAGAAACCTAAATAAATAAGTCTTTCTTTTCTTAGCTCTTCAAACAACTCAGAAACTTGCACAGATGGTTAAAAACTCACCAAACACAAAGGATGAGAGAATGTTATTCTGCAAAGCAAAGCAGACACGTGCTGAGTGTGTGCACTTTCTTCTGGAACATCTTAACAATATTAATTGGCACAAGCCAAACAAGCAGAACAGTCTGTCTGCCTGACACCTTTTCACAGTGTTTTAAAACAAAAACAACAGAAACCGCCAAAACAGAGAATACCCCAAAGTTCCTTTCTTTTTTTTTTGGGGGGGAGGGGAGCTTTCTTCCTTCTTGAAGCTTCTGATTAAGTAATTTCAAAGGGAGGAAATAAATTAGCAGGGAATTTCATATACAGGAGAAGCCTGGAATCTAAACAATTGGTCCTTTTAACATTAGAAACTGATATGTTTTGTGTCCCTACCCAACTATCCCCATGGGTCAAGGGAGGGACCTGGTCAGAGGTGATTGAATCATGGGGGCAGTTCCCCCACGCTGTTCTCGTGACAGTGAGTTCACTCTCACCAGAGCTGATGGTTTTCAAAAGTGCCACACTTTAAAACAATTGGCTTCCCTTCACTTTCTGCCATGATTGTAAGTTTCCTGAGGCCTCTGGAGCCATGTGGAACTGTGGGTCAATTAAACCTCTTTTGTTTATAAATCACCCAGTCTCAGACAATTCTTTCTTTCTTTTTTTTTTTTTTTTGAGACAGACAGAGTCTTGCTCTTGTTGCCCAGCCTGAAGTGCAGTGGTGTGATCTTGGCTTACTGCAACCTCCACCTCTTGGGTTCAAGCAATTCTCCTGCCTCAGCCTCCTGAGTATCTGGGATTACAGGCATGTGCCACCATGCCCAGCCAATTTTTGTATTTTTAGTAGAGACGGGGTTTCTCCATGTTGGACAGGTCTCGAACTCTCGACCTCAGGTGATCCGTCCACCCTGGACTCCTAAAGTGCTGGGATTACAGGTGTGAGTCAACACGCCTGGCCACAGCCAATTCTTAACAGCAGTGTGAAAATGGACTAATACAGAAACGAAAGTAAAAATATTCTTTCTTTGGAAAAGAGTTGTCAATATTCTATTGATGAGACCAAGGTATTTCCCAAATGTCTTAATATTACACTGTGGATTAAACAGAGCACTTAATTTTTTTTTTTTAGAATCTCAATAAAGAAACTAAAAGGTAAGTACTATGTGCCAGACACACAGCAGGCACAAGTAACAATTCATTTTAAGATATAACATATCTGAGGGAATAGCTATTCTAAAGGAATTTAGAAAAAATAAAATATAAGAATATGGCCATATTTACCTAGTACTACTCATAAGAAAGATGCTTGGATTGTAATGATCTCTACTGTATTGATTATGATTACTGGATGCAAGCAAAAGACTACCTTAAGCAAAACATTTTAGGGGGCAGGTTTACTGGAAAGATATCAGTGCTCACAGAATCAATGGGAGGCTTAAAGGAGGCTTGGAAAGCAGGTAGAACTCGGCTGGGTGCGGTGGCTCACGCCTGTAATCCCAGCGCTTTGGGAAGCTGAGGTGGGCAGATCATGAAGTCAAGAGATCAAGACCATCCTGGCTAACACGGTGAAACCCCATCTCTACTAAGAACACACACAAAATTAGCTGGGTGTGCTGGCGTGTGCCTGCAGTCCCAGCTACTCGGGAGACTGAGACAGGAAATTGCTTAACCCCAGGAGGCAGAGGTTGCAGCGAGCCGAGATCATGCCACTGCACTCCAGCCTGGCAACAGAGCAAGATTCCGTCTCAAGAAAAGAAAAAGAAAAAGAAAAAGAAAAAAAAGGAAGGAAAGGAAAGGAAAAGGAAAAGGAAAAGGAAAAGGAAAAGGAAAGGAAAGGAAAAGGAAAAGGAAAAGGAAAGGAAAAGGAAAAGGAAAAGGAAAAGGAAAGGAAAGAAAAGAAAAAAGCAAGCAAGCAGGTAAAACTCAAGGACACTCTGTTAAGAATGCTTGAGTGTCTTCCAGTGAAAGAATTGCCAGGACAGGGCTGCAATGATAGCAAATCAACTCCAACCATTCCATCATCTTTGCTTCATTCAATCTAGATTCAAGGTCTTGGTCAGAAGCATCTAATATACCAAGCACAGGTCACAAGCCTTGGTTGTCAGAGGATGAAGTGAGAGACATGGGGTACTGCCACTCAACAAGATTATAACACAAGAGAATTCCTTCAAATAGGAAGGGGTGTTGGAAACCAAGACAACATAACAAATTCAGTTAACAGTTGTTTTAAAAACACATTCTTTAGAGAGGGGTTAACTCGTCAAGTTACTAAAGTTTAATGCCCATCCTTTAAGAATTTCAATTTCTTTAGCATTAACTGTAAATCTCAAGCTACTCTCTGATCTATAATCTTCTCTTCAGAGCCAACTCATTAGGAATGTTCTGTGAACACAGATGAATCACTCAGACTGCCAGATCGGGCTCTTGTAAAGTAAGTGTGTGTGTGTGTTCATGTTTTAAGAGACCAATCATTCTTTGGTAAATTTATAACATCAAGTTCCCAATGGGCAAAGTCAAGACTCAAGTATCCAGAAAGGAATTGGTGATAAGGGCCAGCATGAGCAGCCAGCTTGAGAAATACTTTATTTTCAGAGACAGGGTCTCCTTCTGTTGCTCAGGTTGGAGTGCAGTGGCACCATAAGAGTTTACTGTAACCTTGAACTCCTGGGCTCAAGCGATACTTCTGAGTAGCTGGGACTATAAGCACCACCGTTCCCGGGTAATTTTTTTCTATTTTTAGTAGAGATGGGGTCTTACTGTATTGGCCAGGCTAGTCTTAAATTCCTGGGCTCAAGCAATCTTCTCACCTCAGCCTCCCAGTGTGTGGGGATTACAGGTGTGAGCCAGTGTGCCCAGCACTCATCTTGCCTTTATAACTTGAAGGACTGAAAGTTGAACTAGCAAAGCAAAAGGCTCTAGAATGTAATTCTGAGGTTAACTATTCTTTTTTTTTTTTTTTTGAGACAGAGTCTCACTCCATCAGCCAGTCTGGGATGCAGTGGTGTTATCTTGGCTCATTGCAACCTCTGCCTCCCAGGTTTAAGCAATTCTCATGCCTCAACTTCCTGAGTAGCATGTGCCACCACACCCGGCTAATTTTTTCTATTTTTAGTAGAGATGGGGTTTCCCTATGTTGGTCAGGCTGGTCTTGAACTCCAGGCCTCAAGTGATCCGCCTGCCTCAGTCTCCCAAAGTTGTGGGATTACAGGTGTGAGCTGAGGCCAATTATTCTAAGTAAGGCATTCCATTGTTTGAACTGATAAATCACAACCCAGTGGCCCACGGAGTAGTAAACACTGAAAAAGAGCTGCCACTTCCTTCTCCACAGATTGTACAAATTAAAGAGTAATGCAATTATCAGTATCATTCTGAACATCTCCTTGGAAACAGCTAAAAATAGTACATTGAGGAGAAAGCTGAACTATTTCCCAGCTGTGCCAAGATAGAATTGATGATCCCAGTACAAAGACTGGATTTTTTTTCTGCTTAATATATTCTTTCTCCAAAGGATGACGGGCATATAGTACAATATTACTGGAATCCAAGGATAGATATGACAGTGTATAGGTCTTCTTTAGCGTGCTAAGTGCCAGCAACATTCACACATACATGAGCTGGCAGTGCTGATATTCTGTAGCACTATCAGGGAAAATCTTTCCAGGTTCTGTTCTATGAACAGAAGCTTCTAATGTGGTTAGAGCCCTCACACACCTCCACAATGCCTTTTAACACATTCCAGAGAGGCCTCACAGGGAAACATCCGATCTTGAATTTTACTTCCATAAAAATGGAAACCAAGAAATTTTATAGGACTCTTTACTCAGTATTCTTCTCCATCACTGAAAACTTAGGGGAAACAGTGACATTATCCTGCACTGTAAATCATCACAGGAATGCCAAGGAAAGCCCCAAATAGACAATGCTCTCAATGAATGGAGTTTATTTGAACAGTTACTATCACAATTGTAAACTTCTCAACTTGGTATTCAAAATTCATTACAACTATACCAGTATAGTGCTTCACTGCTAAAAATCTGCTGTCACATACATTAGCTCACTTGTTTTTCAAGACAATTCTGAGAGGTGAGCATGGTGGTCTTGACTCATTTTACAGATGAGAAAAAACAAGATTCAGAAATCTCTTGTTCACACTACGTCAAGTTTTTATTCCAACCTACTCAACTTATGCAACACATGTCCTCTCTGCTAGACAGTCTGGTCTCACTATCGTCTCTCAAAGCTTACCATGCTTATACTTCATTCC